GTCCGCAAGGTGCGTGGCGCCGGGATGCCGCTAGGTGTCCGTCTTTTCGGCAGAGTCGCCGTCGAGTATGGCGGGTAGCGGGTCTCGCGAGCTTCGCTAATCTTGGCTTGAACGGACAGACGGAACGCTAAGCTTTGGTCCTCATCTTCATCGATGTTGGACATGCCGTTCACCGAGCCATTCTGCCCCGACGGGTTGCTCAGCGACGACCGCGGCCGCCGGCTCTCTGTCGTAGGGTTCGTCGAATAATGTCCCAAAGGAGTCTTAGTCCGGCTCTGGCGGCTCTCTGGGCGTGTCGACGGCGCGACGCTTGGGTGCGTACTTTGGCTGAAGGCGCTGGAGTAGCTAGTACGGCTGCTGGGTCGGCTGTCGCCTCCATTGCGCGTGCCAAAGGATGGTCGGTTGTTGGAGACAGATGACGCCGTGCCATCATTATCCCGGATCGACGAACTGAAACTGCTACCGCTCAACCTCTTGCGCGAGTTTCGGCGCATAGTGATAGTGGAAGCAACAGGACTTCCACCATTCACGGAGATCGAACCGGAACGCGAAGAGGCGCGAGACGGCGAGTCGGACGGAGGAGGCAGCTTGGATTTGGCTGACTGGACTCTTTCTTCCAGCTGCTGCATCTTGCCAATGAGCCCCCGAATCTGGAACAACGAACCCGATTTGGGCAGACTGCTCTTTTGGTCATCATTCTCGCTTCGCGGGGAGTTGATCGAGTTGATCGAGTTGCCGAAATTGGCGGGCTTCGTCAAGCTAATGCGGGAAGTGGTCGTGGACGCGGTAGAACGGGTATTGTTGCTTGCATTGCCAGTGGTGCGAGATCGGGATGACTTGTTGGGTCTGGCGTCATACATCGACCGGGAGCCCATGAGAGACTCAGATCCTGACGCTTTCTGGAGCGGAAATCCAGCAGTAGCATGAACAGTCTTGCGCATGTTGGCCATCATGTTGGTCACACTAACCGATGTCTCAGACATCGGTGGCGATGGAGGAGCCGCAGTAACACCCATCAACGAGGATTTCATCGGCGTACGAACAAATAGGGGAGATGACACAGCGGACGTGCCCGGGGAGCGATCGAAGATCTCGGGAGCCTGCGGCGTTGACGATGACGTGCGGGACAAAGGTGTCGGCTTCTTGCGCCGACCGCCGTACTGCTCATGGCGAAGCTTCTCCTGAAGAATTTCGTTGTCAAGTTTCTGCTCCGATAGTTCATCCCGAAGACGCTGGCACTGGATGCGGAGAGCCTCGCGCTCTTTTTCTCCGGCCTTCACCTCGTCTTCCAACAGGACGCTGCGCTCAATGGCCATGTTATATTTCTGCTCCATATCCTCCAGGGACGAAGTGGTGTGGCGGGCTTGGCGCTCATAATCATCGTTTGCAACTTCCGTATCACGTAGTCTCAACTGCAGGGTTCGGTTGGTGTCTCGCAAGGTTGTGATTTCCTTCTGCAGCGAATTCTGGGCCGTGTTGGCCTCCGACTTGGACTGCTTGAATTTGGACTGCAAGGGGGTTCCCGTTAACCTTGGAGATCTTCAAGCCTCCCACGAGGGAAGTTTGAGGGACCAGGAACACGTTAGGCTCACCTTCCATTCATCAACCTCGTATCTCAGGTTTTCCAGCTTCTCCTTCAATACCCGCTCCCGCTTCTCCGACGCCTCGATATCCTTCTCCAGCTCCGCTTCCAGTTCCCGGCTGGAAGCCTGGAACTCCGCCAGTTCGGCTTCTAACTGTTCATATTGCGCCTTGTAGTAAGCGAGCTGATCAGACCGCGAGCTGGTCCCGTTGGGGCGGGCGGACGAAGAAGCGTCGGCCGATGGCATGATTGCGGCACCAGCAGACGAAACCGGCGATCGGAACGCACGCTCCAGGGGACCACGTCAGAGAGACCCCGGGAGAAGGGGGGGAAAGATTTATAGAATGGTTTGGATGGGAGAAGGGGAGCCAGGGTCGAGAGCATGAACACGCGGGCAGTCACAACAACCGTGCGTGAACTGGTGGTGATGGCGGAGGGGCCGAGGCGGTGTCGCAGGCAGCCGGGAACGCTTGCGACGGTGAGAAGGCGTGGACGCCAGGAAGGAGACAGGACGAGGCGGGCGAGTAGAAAGGACCAGATCGCTGAGAGAATACCAAGACCAGAATGGCCTTAGCAAATTGACTTACCTTGATTGAATCCCTCACAGAGGGAAAGGGATAGGGGAAGGAGGGAGGGGAGGGGAGGGGAGGGGGAGGAAGGGAGAATGTTTTGAGGGGAGAGTAGTTGGGTAGATGGATGGTGATGCTATCCAGAGCAGACGGGACGGGCGCAAGATCCAATCAGCCAATGGCGGCAGTGGCACGGGGTCTGGCTGTCAACAACCGCCTTTACCGGTCGTGACGGGTTACCGTAACTTACGCCCGAGTCCCCCGTGGTCTCGCGGCCTGAGGTTGCCGATCGTCAACAGTCCAGAATAACATCCTCTGCCTGGGCAACAACAGTCAGATGCCATCCATCTATCTATCTATTCATCATATGCTACTAGCTACTGGATAGATTCTATCACTCTGCATTTGATTTGCTATCCCGCATTCCCTAGATGCTTATCCAGACCACGTAAGTACCTCCCTTTCTGCCTGAACCATGGAACTGAACTCTATATTCTATACTAGTTCCCTCATTTTTTGGAGCGTCAACATATGATCCCCGACTCACTAGTGCGCTTTATTCAGATGACCATCCCAGCCAGGTGAGGTCTACTAGTAGTAGACTATCTCTCTGGTGTCACCCCACGATTGGTCTGTTGTCTGGTCGGCCGCCAGTGAACATTGCGCACCAATCAGATGGCCATTAGGCATCCCAAGAGCATTCTCGGATCTGATAGGACTGCTGGCGACCATTGAACGGTCGCAGTCGCGGTTGCGATTATAATCTGCTAAGCCTATGAAACCTAGAACTACATCCAGACCACACTTTACTATTCGAAGCTTGTCGCAAGGTTGTTGCCTTCAAACATCGCCCATGATTTAGCACAAAGAAGGCCTCCACACGGACGCTGCAAGACCTGAGGTCCACCCAAATGCTTGAATTCCAGCGTTCATATACACACTTCAATCTCGATACTGGCCCTCCAACACGAAGACCAGAACGTGGAGCTCGCAACGCTCAATGTTTGTGGGTGACGATCCTTATGATATCCGCAGAATAACATTCATCTGTATATTATTCTGCTCAACCCAGATCTAGCTTGTGACAACGACTGATAGTGTTTGGTACTAACGAACAACCTACTGTGTATTGAGGTATGTCTCAGAATGCTCGTCCAAATTTAGAATTCATAGATAAAGCTCAAGTCATTGACCTAAACCCGTGGAAAAAGTTTGAAATATGGTAATCCAGGTGAATACCCAAATCATTAGCCAAATGCCCTCCCTTAGATTGTGATATTGTTTCCCTGCTTTGTAAAATGCGAGAACCAACTTCTCAAATCGTAATACTACTTATCCTCCTGACCTTCAGGGTGAATACAGCCCGATACCTCAGCCATACAGTATGTTTGAACTGGCTTCCCGTAATGATCGAATTTCGGGATACATAGAGATCATCCCATCTGAAACAAGGGTCTGATGCCTCCAAATTTTAAAAAGAACAACATAAACACATATAACAACCATAGTATCTGAGCTCAAAACCATCACAGCTCAACTATTTTCTAGTACTTAAAATAACCTTGAAGCAGCAATTCCCGGAGACAAATTAAACTTGCATTGTAACGATATTTCAGAACACAGTAGATCCCCTGGAATAAGCAATTCTAATAGCTTATCTTTGGCTAATATCACCAAGATTTATGGTACAATGAAATATGTCCTAATACCCTTCGAACCACTGAATCCTGCGTAGTCCTTGCTTCATCTAAGAAATGAGCCACTAAAGAGACGAGATTCCAGCATCTTTTGTTGTTCTTCCTGGTGGATTCCCCACGTGCCGGGCATGAGCTACCACTTCACTGGCAAGTCATGTTGCTTTGACATTGACTTGGAATTGTCAGTCATCAGGTGAGTTGTAGATCAATACATATGAATGACTGAATTTGTGGTAGCTACCAAGGTTCTAGTGAAGATGGCTTAGCTTGCTGGAATACCAAAAGAGGATAAACTCTAAAGAGACATGCGTAGTCGATACTTAGACTGGACTGTCCATTTCAAAATTTACAGTATAAGTACATGAGGTAGAAGGCTGGAGATAACCTGGACGATGGGTAGCAGGCTGGCTTCGCTGAGACTTCAGATCGGTGGGCTTGGTGTATTGAATTAGACTCATTAAAGCTACTATAGGGTCGATAGATGTTGAGATTACCCATTTGATGGACTGCACGGTATCATTCATACTTGGTTGGGTACTTGATTGAATTGATGGAGGCTACAAAGAGGTGTAGATATGGGGGAATGAGACAGTATCTTTAGCAATGTTCGGTGATTGTAGTGTGGCTCCTAAAGAGTGTGATATTCAACAGTATTATCAACAGTACATTGTGACACTTGATGACCTCCCTCCAGCTTCTGACCTCGATGAATGCATCTCCCTCACATGAATATAGGCCATTGCACATTCTGTAGATGGAGAGTGAAGTCGTGAACTGACTAGCCCTTGTGCTTGAACCACCACACCAACTGAGGGCACAACACGGTGCACTGTGAGCACCCTGGCGGTTCTGCTAAAACAGTTTTCTTCCTTCTGACTCGCTGGGACAACCTTGAGCCATGACTGGCCCAGTGAGAGTCCATTCACTTCTTCTGTTATGATCTAAAAGCAACACGTGGCCCAGCACTTCCCCCCCAAAACATCTCTCTCTGACGCTAACGCTTCTTGGTTAGTCGCTTCTTATACCCTCAGTTATCATAGTAACTAGGCTATCACGAGAGCTCGTTTGAAGATTTTGATCGGTATTAGTGTCGCTTGTTAAACATCTCTGTCTCGAATCTTGAGATCTGGTCGAAGCAGACGACTTGACAAGATGCCGGCCATCGACAACGATGAGGTGGAGAGACGTATTGCTGACGCCCTGCAAGAGGCCAAAGACGCTAGGCTGCGTTTGCCTGAAGGTCTGATGCCTCCCATACATCTCGTATCATTCTGCTCACATACCACCAGCCCAGAACGATGCCGCAAACCTGGAGGCCACCAGCAAGCTGAAACTAACCAAGTTCGACAAGCAAGTTGCTACCGTGCTTGACGTTGTTAGACCCCTTGAGTGGACCATTGAGAACGGCCAACCCGTCGAAAGACGTATCAGAGACAGAGAGGCTGTCACCGCGGCTTTACTCTACCGTCGAGGAGAGGAGGTTGAGCGATGTGACAGGTGCCAGACCCTCGGCCCCCTTGCTAAATGCATCATTTCGCCTAGCCTTGGTGGCCGAGCCCTGCACAGGGCGGCCTGTGCAAATTGCATATTTTACCACCAAGGCACGTATTGCCCCCACAGACTCAAGTTCGAGAAGTCAAAGGGTGAGATGTGGACAGAGAGTGATACACAGTAAGTCGTCCGACACCAATATGGGATTTTGGCTAACGGCGGACGTTTCAGACTTGTTCTTCCGAGCGGTGGCTTGCGACAGACACTTGCGCTGACTGGCGAAGACGGATTCGATTTTTTGCGCGTTAATGATGAAGATTCAACCTCAAAGGCCCAGGAATTGGGCGACTCAAGTGCTCCCAACAACTCATCTGCAGCACATCAATCGGATGAATCTGCGCCCGCTGGCATGACTCCGTCATCTGAAGAGCAGGATAACCTGCCAACGGGCGCCAGCAGCAACAGCAACAACTGGTCAAGTTGCGTGGCAGACGACAGTGGCATGGTGAGCATGTCGTCTGCCACGCAACTTGACCAGTTGTTGCTGTTGCCATACCCCCCCGCCGACACCTTGGCAGGGGGGCCAAGCTATCAGTTTCTCTCCTCGGATGACAGCTATATCTTGCCACAGTCGTCCGCCACGCAGGCCGAAGAGGAGCTCTGCCCATACCCTCCCGCCGGGGATTGCTTTTTGGCTCAGGTACCCGAGCAGGTTGAGTACAGCATCGAACACGAGCCCCAGAAGAACAAGCAGGAATAAGCTTGTTCTTCCGAGGCTCGTGTTCGGTTGCTGTTTTGACTTTCTTTCATTTCATCTTTCTTTTCTGTTTTGTTTTCTTTCTTCTTTGCCTTTCTTTTATCTGACTCAAATGTTAGCATGTCCTTATGTCTTTGAAGATGCAGAGTGTTTCCTTTTATACCTGAATTTGATGGAAGACAGAGCCACCACTGAGTTTGTATGGGATGGCAAGTGATGGGGCGAGATGGAGAGAAGAATCTTAGCTGGAGAGGATAAGAAGAGACATCGAAGTGTGAAGTGAAGAGGAATGAGTGTTGCGAACAGTGAAGAGGTAGACGCGCTTTTAAGACTACAGCCGAAGAGCTGCGGGCACGGGCCACAAGCACGTGATGATTTGTGAACACACACGGCAGCGACTCACTCACTCACTTTCTCCTGCCACGCCGTTCTGTTCTCCCGGAGCTGTGCTCCTGCTGATTGCTTTCGCCCCTGTTGAAGCTCTTTTCACTACTTGAGTTCGAAGAAACTGCTTTCGGCAAGTCTTACTCCCGCGTGTGACCTTCCTCTTGTATGTATTCCTTCTCTTTTATGGCCCTCACGACCCCAGTGTTCTGGCTTAAGATCCCGCCACAACCCGGGGGCCCCAAGGCATACACCAGTCGTGACGCTATATCCACGCACACATTGGATCCCGGTTCCCGTCCCTGTCTTAAGAAGGTGCTTCCACGCACTCGCTGGGGCCCCCCCATTTCCACATGGACACGATGACCTCCTATTCTTGATTTTTTTCCTGCTCGCGCTATCCTCTGTCCCAATGAGAGTCATGGACCTCTGTCTGATGACGCTGATGTGTCCTGCCAGACCCTCTCTTCCCCACCATCTGTCACCATGGCGGATCCTACCGATCTGAACCTGGATGCACCCAGTGACTTACAAGATATTCCGGACATGTCCATGCAACTACTTCCCCCGCCAGAGGGGACATATCCTGATAAGTGAGTTTGACCCCGTTCACTCTCTCTCCTCCTTTCCCACCCTCTCTGTGCCCCTTGCCACACGTCGGGTAGCGGATCGGTCCGCTGTGGCTCCATAGTGGATCTGATAACTCACATCGTCGTGATCTTCCTCAAAGGGCGACGCTTCTTGCAGCAGTGCAGGCACACGGAAAAGCTCATGGATACAACGTCGTAGTCAAGTCGTCCAGCACTCCCACGGAAAAGAAACCGGGGCGGACTGCCAAGGTCTGGTTGCGATGCGATCGCGGGGGCCACTATCGCCCGCGCAACGGGCTCACTGAGGAGACTAGGAAGCGGCGGCGCACATCCCGGTTGATGGATTGCCCGTTCATGCTAGTTGCAGCTGGAACTCCTGGGATTTGGACGCTGACTGTTCTGAACGCCACACACAACCACGGCCCGATTGTCGAAAAGCCTCGGCAGGTCCCTCATCATAAGGTCCGGAAGGGCCAGATCGCAGCGGTACCCTACGATTGGCCGCACGATGCGACGCTGACCCCTTATACGACGGCGTTAGTAATTATTGACATGCAAAAGGACTGTGCGTATGATTCCATGTGGTCGTGTGGGTCCTGGCTGAGCTTTTTACTAATGGGATGCCAACGCAGTCTGTTTGCCGGGTGGATACATGAGCCTTCAGGGCTACGACATATCGGCTAATCAGGCACTAATTCCTAAATTACAACATCTGCTGAATGCATTCCGTTCATCCGGTTTTCCCATATACCACACTCGGGAAGGTAGGCGAAAGTCTCGACATTCCCTCTCTTTTCCTATCGATTACTGACGTCGTCCAGGACATCGGCCCGATTTGTCTACGCTGTCTAGTAGAGAGGCCTACCGTTCACAAAACAATGCTTCTGGCATGGGGATTGGGTCTCCCGGACCCCTAGGTCGTCTGCTGATACGTGGCGAGGTGGGTCACGACACCGTTGACGAATTGTACCCAGTTCACGGGGAACCGGTAATCGACAAACCAGGCCGGAGTGCGTTTGCACACACCGACTTCGAACTCATCCTTCGCAATCGCGGTATTAAGAACCTGGTGTTAGTGGGTGTAACGACCGATGTGTGCGTTGCGACGACTATGCGCGAGGCTAACGACCGAGGCTTTGACTGCGTGGTGCTTGAAGACGGAACTGCAGCCAGCGAACCGTCCCTTCATGTGAGTGCCATCGAGTCAGTCAAGATGGAGGGAGGAATCTTCGGGGCAGTAGCCAAACTAGAGGACGTGTTGCACGCAGTGGAGAACTTTAAAGCCGTGACTGTGAAGAAGCTGGCTCCGCAGATGACGGTATGATAGGTGGCGTGGGGATGGTCCAACTTTTGCCTTTTTCTCTTTTACCTCTTTGCTACTCCTCGCCCACAGAGGCCTTCTGACTTTATCGGGATCAACTCTGGGATATCATTCAGCGCTGTCAACATTGGAGGAACGATCTGCCACTGGGATAGAGGAGTCATCATCAGGACGGACAAGGACAAGAAATAGTAACGAAGCTATGAATACGATTTATGGACATGCATACATTGAATATGAATCTGGTATCTTCCAAACACCATGTACAGAGAGTAGTAACCACTAAACGCCTCAACCCAACCAAAACCAACCCACGACCGCATCAAATCAAACCACAAATAAATCAACCCTATAACCACTTCCTCCCCGCAGCCGTAACCCTCCCCCTAAACACAGGACTCTTAATCTCCATCCCCTGCCTATAAAACGGACTCATCACAGTCTTCACATAATTCTCATACACCTCAGTCATAAACTGTCGCACGGCCTCCTCCGTCTGCGGCGACGTCGGATTATTAGCTATCGAGCTCGCCGACGCGCGCGACGACCCGCCCGCAGACCCCAACAACAACGACCCGGACATCGACCCGCCCATCGAACCACTCCCACCGGCCCCCTGCCCGCTATTCGAAGCTAATTGCGGCGGCTGATGCAGAAGAAGGAATCTTGCCCCGGAGGGGGTCAAGAACGCGGAGATGTATGCTGATGCGGGGGGGTAGGTGTCGATGTGTTTTAGGTACCTGCCAGTACATCAATCATTATTAGCATGCGCTTCAATTCCACACATAGTAACCATAAAGGGAAGAAGAGGACATACATATTCCCATTCATCCACTGCGCCTCCTCAACAATATCCAAACTCGAATGAATGATAAACTGGTTCATGTACTGCGCTGTATCCGGGAATCGGAACCGGGCGATCCCGTCGCCCCCGGACTTGGATGTGCCGAAGGCGATGTTGAATAGAGGCACGTCCGTAGGGGAGAGGATCGTGAAGTAGTAGGACATTTTGATTGATTGCCTTTGTGGCTTTCCGGGGTTGTGCTGTGTTGTTGCGGGCCACTAACTACGTATTTACTTGTGGCTTTCGGGGAATCGGAGATGAGATGGGGGCCAGGGGAGTAAGTAATATGTCACGTGTGATAAGATAAGAATATCAATTTCGGGAGGGTTAAGGGTAGGTAGTAGGGGTCCACGTGACGTGCATCATGGGTTTCTACTAACTAGCTTCATCTTCATCTTCCTTACCTCATCCTTCTAAGATTACGGGATTACATATCAATTCGACTAGGAAAACAAAGGGATAACATGCCTCCTCCAAAGCTAGGCTTCGGCCTCAACCCCCCCTCCAAACCCACCTCTCGACCTAACCCCCCGGCGCCGAAACGCAAGAAACCTATCTTCGGCGACGACTCCGACGACGATGAACCCCAATCTACTACCAGTGTCAAGAAAGGCCCTAGCAGCGGCGGCGGCGCAATTGAAATCACGACGATAGGCGGCCTTGACGATCTCACTCCTACTAACAACGAAGAAGAGGAAGCTCGCCCCGCGAAACGCAAGCTCCTCGCTCCCGGCGCATCATCATCAACCGGCGCACCCAAACCACCGAACGTGAAACCGCTCAACAAGAGCTCTATATTCGCGGACGCCTCCGACGAAGAAGAAGGAGAAGCAACAAACACCCCCACCTACGGCCTCAACCCCTCCAACAGCAGCAAACCGAAACCCAAAAGCAAAGACCTCGACACCACAAAACCCTACACGAACCTATCCGCCCTCCATAGCAGCCGAAAACACGCGGCGGAAGCCTCCGAACTCGACCCGACAATCTACTCCTACGACGCGGTGTACGACAGCCTACACGTGAAACCGAACAAGGACAAGAAGGCCTCGGACAGTGAGAGCAGCTCGACCGTGCCGAAATACATGACGTCGTTGCTGCGCAGCGCGGAGATCCGCAAACGGGATCAAATGCGAGCGCGGGACCGTCTGCTCGCGAAGGAGCGCGAAGCGGAGGGCGACGAGTTCGCGGATAAGGAGAAGTTCGTGACGGCGGCGTATAAGGCGCAGCAGGAGGAGTTGCGGCGGGTGCAGGCGGAGGAAGAGGCGCGGGAGAAAGAGGAGGAGGAGAGACGGAAGAAGAATGGGGGGTCTGGGATGGTGGACTTTTATCGGGATATGTTGTCGCGTGGGGAGGAGAGGCATGAGGCTGTTGTGAAGGCGGCGGAGGAGGCGGCGAAGAAGGTGAAGGAGGGTGGTGGTGTGGGTGAGGAGGAGAAGGACGAGGGAGAGAAGAAGGAGAAGAGTGAGGCGCAGATGGCGGAGGAGTTGAATGCCAAGGGGGCGCATATTGCGGTTAATGATGAGGGTCAGGTGGTGGATAAGAGGCAGTTGTTGTCGGCGGGGTTGAATGTCGCGCCGAAGCCGAAGCAGACGCAGAAGGAGAAGGATGCGGCGGCTGCGGCGGCGTCAAGGGCTGCGGTGCAGGCTTCGAGGTTTGGGGCGCAGAAGCAGGCCGAACGCGGTGGACAGCGTGCGCGCCAGACGGAGATGATTGCGTCGCAGTTGGAGGAGCGGGCGAGACAGGAGGAGGAGGCCGAGGCGGCGCGGCAGAAGGAGATTGCGGAGCGGAGTCGCAGTCGCAAGACGGAGGGGGATGTTATGAGTGCGAAGGAGAGGTATTTGGCCAGAAAGAGGGAGCGCGAGGCTGCTGCGAAGAAGGCGTGATTGTCTACTCTGTGAGAGGTAGATTGCATATGGTTGGCGTTGGGTATGGATTCTGTATAGTGTATGATATAATAAAAGATTGGCGGTTATACTGGAATGGTAGGATTCTTCGGGTACTTAAAGGGCAGTGGCAGTATCTCTGTATTACGGGGCGAACTAGCAAGTGGACTCGTAGTGAGACAGTATATATGGTATTTCGTTACTCGTTTCCTAATCATAAACCTAACGCCAGGAATGCTATGTCTTGACTAAGTGTTCTAGTATAAGAATGCGCTGCATCTTGAAATACTTTTTACCACCAACGCCGTTTAGTATGACTATGCGGTCAGGGCGAAGCTGAGCCCCATCAGGACCATTCCTCCAATAGCGAACCCAGTGCACATTCCCCGATTGTGAGTTAGGGTAAGGCCTTCGCTGAACAGCTGCAGAGCAACTGAGATCATGACGCCCGCCGTCGCAGCAAACATACCGCCGTAGACACCCCAGGACGGGCCAGCGGCGTCGTCGCCATTAGCACGCCGAGCACCCCATATCCAGAGAGCTGCCAGCGCAGCGCCAGCAGGTTGGCTGATGCCGCCTAGCAAGCTTGACCAGAACATGGCCCAGCCGCGCGAATGCAGCGCGAGATACAGAGGTAAGGCCATGGCGAAACCTTCGCTGATGTTGTGAATGAAAAGAGCCAAGAAAACCGTGAGACCTAAAGTCGGGCTCGCATGGTTCGTGGCGTAGGTGATAAACCCCTCCGGCAACTTGTGCAAGGCAATTGCTATAGATGTCTGCAGACCGATGGAGAGAAAGGCGTTCTGTGGCACATGGTGATGGTGTTGGGGATTGGGTGGCGGCTTAGTCCCGTCTTCAGGCGCCACATCCTGGTCGTCAAGAAGACCGGTCCGGGAAGAAGAGGAACTCGCCTCTTGGCGTCGAATTTGCGAGGATGGCAGGTTTGCCTCCAGATCATCTAGTCGTGCCGAGTCCACTTGCACGGATATGCTGTGGGGATGCGGCAGCGGCGGGCGCACGGTGCCGTCATCCAGGACAGAGATTTCCGGTCCCTCGAGGGTCTTGGTGCATTCGTGCCCGCACGCCTGCGAGAAGCCAAAACAGGGACCATTCTCATCGCAATGTGATTTGACTCCGCCAACCAGACGACTAATGCGTCGTGTCAAGCGGATATGCAGGGATTCCCTTCGCACAAGTGCGCCGGGGTCTTCACCAGCTGCGGGGACGGTCACAGTGGCCGGGGAAGACTTGTGAGTCAAAAGAGGAGTTCGCTCATTCAGATGGTTAGGGCCGTGGGAGTGTAAATGAACGTCTGGCTTGCCCCCGTGTTCATGATCAGAGGTGGGGTGTGGCTCGTGGGTATGAGCACAGTCGACGACATGTGACGGTATGTAGCGATGCAATAGTGCCGATGCCAAACGGATGATGACCGCGCCCGCCAGAAAGAGACCGATAAGCACGTATGCAGCAAGAGAGGGGGACAAGCCAGCTCGAGTCAGGTACCGATGAGAAGTAGGCAGCATGCTATAGAGAGAAGTGTAAAGCTAGCGCGGTCAGCATGGTACCAAAGTTAGGGTCAACTGGTCAGAGAGAAATACCATGACGCCCGCGCTCAGACACAATGACGCGGATAAGAAGCCATTGTTATGGACGATCTGGAAGCTTTTGCGGCGAGACAATCGCCGTAAAACAAGATCCACACAAATGACAGACGATCCCAAGACACAAGCTGGATTATGTTAGCTAGCGAAACTTAAGTACTATACAGAAGAAAGACTTACCCACGCCTGACACGGCGCTCATGACCCAGCCCCGTAGGTCATTGCTGGCAGCCATGATGAATAGAAGGCGAGAATGCCAGCAATTACTGCCAGCGAAAAGACACTGACGGGGAAGAAAGAACGAGACTTTTCAAAGGGGAAAGGAAAGAGAGTTTGGGGGAGCCTTGGATTTCATGATATCATGTCACGCGGCGGGCGATTAGATAACCTGGGGACCTTGCGGGCAACAACGCTGCTTTGATCCAAACAGCGGCTTTGTTCCTCTTGAACTTCTTTCTTTTTCTCCCCTTGCCTGCAGCCAACGAATCGCCCTTTCACTGCATCTCTGCAGCGCCGTTGGAGAGGTTCATTGAGGAGCCACTCGGGCAAGGTTTAAACTACCAAATCTTAAGGAAACATGATAATACGCTGCTCGGAGCCCCGTCCCCCTCCCGAGCCCCTTGTACAACTCATCGCGCCTTCAACGCCCCTGTCCGCTAGTCGCCCTACCACCAGACTCCAAGGTCCCCAGGCTAATTTCTCATCGGGCCATGAGCTGCAGCAACGAAATAGGTCATGGCGAGTCACGTAGCAGTATGTCTAAACTTACGATATATTGCCAGGGCAAGGGCCAGGCAACAGCCCTGAATGGCTCGGAGTCCGTGCTAAGCGTATAGTAGTATGTACGTCCTCCCTGGAAGTGAGCCCATGCATGCGACGCGCAACATGGTTGGCGGTATGGAGCTCCAATTCATTAGCTAGAGCGGAAGGCGTAAAGTAGACTTTACCTTGCGGTTCCTGCTCATGAAAGTTGTAATGTGATGTAGACTGCCAGCTATCGAGAACTAGACTTCTACTAGACGTCTGATCTACCTCGAAAGCCGAGTTCCATTATTCGGAACTGCTAGCAAATTGCTGCGGAAGGCATCTCTCGTTGTGCAAGCGAATTATCTTTTCTGGAGGCATACGTCCGCTTTGCAGTAAAAATGCATGATCCAAAAGCCGGGGTGCTGTTCACGTTATATGCCACAGACGTATCTAATCATGCGTTCTAGCGAAAGAAACGTAGTATCCAGAGATTGTGGCACACTTGGACCTTGATCAGACACGCTTGACCCTAAACCAGTTTGACGGTAACCTTAGTTGAATGTTCCATCCCCAAGGAGAAGCGCACACTCGCAAAAGCTAGATGACATGGCTGCGAGGGCAGGTTTTTCGGCGTTGCCGGACGCATTAGCGTGGGACTATGGGGCGTAAGAGGATCTGAGGGCCGCATGAATGGTCGGCGCGAGTTAGCCTAAGATTTTAGTTGATCGTCAGTCACCAGTAGCACTCCAGATTCCAGTAATGACAGCCGTACCTCATGAGAGCACATCCTTCCCAGTGGTCAATGCCTCTGCGTAGCTCTTAGAGCCAAGACTCTAGGAAGCATTTATAGTTCTCCTTCTTGGTACATGTCAGACCCCAAATCTTGAATCGGAACCCGAAGTACCATTTATTCGACTCTAAATGACGGAGTCTGGAGAAGCAGAAGATTGTCATTCTTGCCCTGGGTAGTCATCTGTGTATAGCCTGTCAAACCAGGCGAGACAATTTTTGACAAGAGAAGAATATTCATGCTCGCTATCTTTCAAATTGCCAATTGTGAATGACTGACGCAGTGGCTCTCCGGTCCACGGCTCTCCTGCAGACTGATCTCCCCTGTACAATTATCAGATAAGCCTGTACCTGCTGCCACTGTCCGGAGAATATAGAAGTGGTACGAATGCAACCGCATTAGATATCAAACACCTGTTGACAAATGATGAAGTAACTGTCGGAGAAAGTCAGTAGTCAGGAGAGAAGGCGAAAGCTAAGACGAGCCAAGTTGATATAACAACGTGGATTATGCCCCGAGCAGTGCAACCACGCAAGCCGCGGTGCCCAGAGGAATTGTCGCACCGGCCAAACCAGCCATGATTAAAGTGCAACGTGAAAGGCACCCAAAGTCTATCCCTCGGCGTCGAGTGACGTACAGGGGGGCTCCGTCACATGATGGCAGGCAACCAGCACTAGAAAAGCATCAATTCTATTTGATCAAAGACGCTTCACCCTCTCAACTTGGGCTACACAAGCATCAAAATCGATTACTCACTGTCATCACTTTGCTAGCAAGACAGTCTCCTCATTTCCAATATAAAAGCACCCTCAATCGCCGCCCCCCAGACCGACTCGAGGATTGTTTTCATCTCCATCCTCTTCTCCCTCTATCATATTTATCCCCAAGCAGGTACGCTCCAAAGCACAACATCAAGCAATCATGTCTCCCATCCAAACTCTTGGTAAACTCCTGGTTCTGATTCTCGTCTCTTCAAGCTCCGCCATGTCTCTCACTCGCTACACCGCACCCATTCCTCAGGGCGCGAAGGTGGTCGAGACGCGTGAGCAACTCAACCAAGTAGTCCGGGAAAATCCCGAGACTGTCCTGTACGATCAGGATGGTGGCTACATGTTGAAAGATGAGAGCGGAACCGTGGTTGCTATAGCTGCGGACTCTCTGTGTCCCGAGTTGGACCAGGCCTTGGCTGAAGTCGAGGCCCTGCAAGCAGAGACGAAGCTGGCTGGCAATGCCAGAGACCAAGGTGATACCTCTACCAACAAGAGAGACCTTAATGATGTTCAGGACACTAATCGTCCACTTCGTTGTTCTCACCCTAGATGCTTCAATTCCGCCATCTGCCTGACCTATACCGATTGTCACGTCTGTTTGCGACAGCACCACTGTATCTGAGGTGATTGATACGTTACATGGTGGGGTTTGGAGGGTTGAAAGAAACTGAGATAAAGAGGAATATTGAATGATGGGATTGTGATGGCTGTATGATGGTGGACTATCTGGATGAAGGAGGGGTGATGTATGTATGCAGATGCAGACTGGGTCAGAGATGGTTGTCAATGGCTTGCTTCTTTGCAGTGGCCTGGCCCAAGAATGTAATGTGCTTGTCATCTTCATCGTGCAATATAGGTGTACTGTTGTAGTAACGTGAGGACATAAAGGAGCATTGCCAGATTGTCAATGCACAGCCAAGCGTAGATCATTACTACACCTGAGAGACGCAAGTCAACCTCAGCATGTCTTCTATATTAGCTACAAGAACAAGTATGCGCACCGCATGTACATGAAGACAACCTTAAAGCCTGCTAAATACAAGCGACGGAAAATCAACATGATCGTGCCTACAGCCCAGTCACAGATAGTTCGCCCATCATAATGACTACCCAATATCCTATGATAGCACTATGTACAAGAAAGACGCATCAACAAGTAAAGAAAATGAGTTGGACTGCTCTCAGCAAGACATCTTAGATTTCACATTCGTTCTTCCTATTTCCATCCTCAGCAAGATGAATTCCAAAACATCGTCTCAGCCATGGGCATCTCAAGAAATATTCATATGCAAAAGCTCCTCCCAAAGCTTGTTGAAGTCGTCCCAGGTCATGTTCGAGGCTTCCTCGGGGGTAGTCCTTGCATAGATGATGTGCGCGTAGTTATTTCCTTCCGAATGTCGCATTGAGAGTCGCGAAAGCAGAATGCAAGTAGCCTGAAGAGGCGAGATAAACGTTGGATCCAGCTCGTTGCATGATGAAACTATTCTTGCCAACAACTCAACGTCATCCTTGTATAAAACATGGGGAGCGCTTTGGCTAAAGTCCATCAGACCCCTGTACCGTATCACCAAATTTTTAGCAATGGGAGTCGAGGCGATTTTGAGGCATGTCTTTAATAGGACGTCGGCATATTCCGTGGCCTGCGGCGTAAAGCGAGGATCGAAGATATATCCCTTTGGTATGTTGTGAAGTATGTAGATTTTGACGCAATCTGATAGATATTTCCAGTTCTCCCAGGTGGAGGAATCGTCCTTGGGAGGATGAGGGAGTTCAAGATTGACAAGGTCTTGTAAATGCCATTTCTTGAGCTTTCCCCGGACTTGAACGTACCACTGATGCACACTGTCCATGGTCAGGTCAAAGTCGATTTTGTCTGCTAGTATTTCGTCTTCTGATGTGCTGATTTTCCGGACGATTTCCACATTGATGCGGCGTGCCTGTGTATATTCCATGATTGTGGGATGAAGAAGGATGGTGCAAATCACATACTGTGAGAGAAAAGAGTAAAAGGATGATAGATGTCATATTCTGGGAAATAAAATTGATTAGAATCCATAATCTCAAGTAGAAGAACGGGTTGATTCAATGCTCACTACTAGGCTGCCCGGGAATTGCCTGTTTACAATCGAGATGCTTCTAGATCGACTGCAGGGAATTTCCTGTCCTTCACTGAGCCTTAGCCAGTAACCTTATAGCTGCAGGGAATGCTATGTGGAGTCCGGGGCATTTCATCATGGTCAGTAGGTCATCTGCACACAGTGATCATCCGACCAGCGTGGCATCGAAGCTGGCATAGCATATAAAGAAGTCTCGAAGCAGCTGTTAGGGAATTTCCGGTCATTCCCTTTTCATATCTTAGCCCACACACAGTCACCAGTGGCAGTTGCACTCCTCCAGACAAGTGAAGACCAAAACTTACCAGTGACACGGTGTTTGTAGATTACCCTTTTGGGATCATTCAGGCTATACTTCCCGATCATCTGATTGCCGCCCGCTGATTGGTCTCCGCTTCAGCATCAATTTTACTCTCTTCGGCAATCCACTTTTTTCTCCGTCCCGATTCTATCCATCCATCTCTTTCATCCTTATCCTTCCTCTCCTTTCCTCTCCTCCTTGGACATCCTCTCTCCCTTCCTCCACCACCGCCAACCATGTCCAAGGCCACCTTCGCGGCCATCGCCGCCGCCAGTGCCGCCACGGGCGCCGGTCTGACGGCTCTCTTCTACTCTCCTCGACCCCAACCACAACAGCAGCAACCACTCCCCCAACAACAACTTCCTCCTCACCCTCCGACCACCACCACCTCCAAACTCCCCGCCCCTCAACCCGCCGCTCCCTCTCTCGCCCCCAAACCCACCCCAACCAGCGGCTCCCCCGTCGACCCAGCCGGCATCTACCAATATGGCTTTCCCGGTCCGGTAGCCGACACTCTCCTCTCGGCGCCCCTAGCCGGCGCCTACGACCGTCGCACACGCAACCCATCCTGGGTGGCCGAACACATCACCCCGCAGTCCCTGGCACAAAAGAACGCGGACCGCAAGGGCAGCACATTCTTCGAAGACACGACGATCCCGCCGCTATTCCGCGCCAAACTGTCCGACTACTTCCGCTCCGGCTACGACCGCGGCCACCAGGTGCCCGCCGCGGACGCCAAATGGTCGCAGGACGCCATGGACGCGACCTTCGCGCTGTCGAACATGTGTCCGCAGGTCGGCGAGGGATTCAACCGCGACTACTGGGCCCACTTTGAGGAGTTCTGCCGTGACTTGACGAAGAAGTACCCCTCTGTGCGCGTGGTAACTGGTCCTCTTTACTTGCCTCACCGCGATCAGGATGGAAAGTGGCGTGTCTCGTATGAGGTTATTGGAAACCCGCCGAATGTTGCTGTCCCGACCCACTTCTATAAGGTCGTGTATGCGGAGGAGGGTCCCGCGACGGCGGGTAAGGTTGCGCTGGGTGCGTTTGTGCTCCCTAATGCTAGGATCTCGAATGATAAGCGCTTGACGGAGTTTGAGGTGCCGCTTGAGGCGGTCGAGCGGGCTAGTGGTCTGGAGTTTGCGGCCAAGTTGGATGCTGGACGCAGGAAGAGGCTGTGTCAGGAGGTGAAGTGTGATGTTGTTGTGAGGGAGTTCAACAATGCCAGCAAGAAGAAATAGATCTGGTTTGGTTGTGTAGATTGAGAGATGGAGGGTTTGTGGATAGTTGGTTGGAAGGGAAGGGTTTCCTTCATGTGTATTTTAGACTTATCATTATTCCCTTTGCATGGCCCGGGATATCATTAGGTCGATTTCGGCTCTGTATAGATTGACATTGCATCTATATATGTATACATATTGATCGCACATGATGTGTTTTACCTGGTTCGTATAGATATAGATATAGCTATAGCGCTGTCTTCATAACCCAACTTCCGCGCCCCAACGCGGGTTTATACACACACACTGAACCCAGACCCAGCATCAAACCACTCACCAACTTCACGCCAATACTGACTTGTAAGCAGACCATATCAACACTGAAAGGCAACCCCCGACTTAGTTGCAACATTCCCACCTCTCCCCGCAAACCCTGTCCCTTCTGAGCTCACCTCCACCAAACCAGGCTTAATCCCCTCCTTGTCCTTCTTTTTCTTCTTCCCCGACGAGGCAGAATCCTTGTTACTGTCACTTGACGGCGTGACATCTGTCTCGCAGACGTAGCATAAAATCCGCCCATGCAAGGCAGCGGTCTGCTCCTGTTCTTCTTTCGAGGCGTGCGGATCCGGTGCATCGTGCGGAGTCATGAATTTGTTGACGCATGGTTGGCAGATGACGTGGCCGCAGGGTTTTGTTACTGGATGTAGTAGAGCTAGGTTAGTATCCACGTTGAGGAGAATGCGGCGGGTAAGGTGGTGATCATACGCATTGCTTTGAGCCCGTTCGTCAGTGTTTTCTTGCAGCTTGGGCAGACACGGGCCGGGGAGCCATCGGAGGCCTTTTCTTCAGTGAAGTGCACCTCGACTAAGGATTTGAGGGAGTAGCTGTGGCGGTTGGAGTCGGTAGAGGCAGGGCAAATGGGTGTTAGTTTAATGGATTTGTTGGCGGCGATTTCGTTCGGATCGGTGGTGGGTGTGAGCGAGGGGACCCAAAAGGACGGTAGGGCTGATTTGTTTGCTTCCTGGGGATGGTCAGTGAGATTCTTACCAAGGAGAGTAGACAATAGTAGTAGACCTTTTCTTTCTTCAACTCATTCTTCAACCGTTCCTGTTCCTCGCGCGCAATTCTAGCCATCTCTTTATCATCCAACTCGAACACCTTCTTCCGCTTCCCGTCCACTTCTACCTCTCGCGCCTTGAAAGCAGCCAATGCCTCTGAGGTATCTGCTTTCCGTTTCTTGGAGCTCTCGTCATTTTGTGATTGGCTTGACCCGTTGTTCTTCTTCGCTGCTGCATCTAACCCCATGCTCACTAGTTCGAAATCACGGAGCTCCCGTGTTCGCGCTTCATCTAATGCCCGCTCCTCCTCCTCTGCAAGACGCTTTTTGGCTTCATCGCGTTCCTTTTCGAGACGCTTGATCTCCTGTCGCTGGGCGAGAAGGTCGCTGATGGCGCATTCGCGACAGAAGAGATCTCCGTTGGTGGCGCAGGCGACGACGGGTTCCCGCGCCGGGTGTAGGCAGAGTCGACACGAGCCGAATGGGAGGAAAGAGTCGCGGCCGATGACGCCGCGTTTGGTGCCCCAGCTTGATTTGAGGAGATCGCGCTCGTAGGATGTAAAGTGTGGAAGAGAGGTGTTGCGCTTAGAGTGCGCCATGGCGAAGATTCTCTGCGGGGGAGGTGGATTGGTTGATGTGAGGTTATGGATGGAGCATCGGCGAGGGAGAAGATATTGCGGAGTGGGGATCGGAGGTCGGAGGGTCGGTGCGGAGTAAGTTATGTGGGTAGATGAGGGGATGACGCTTCTCCGGTAACACCAATTCAAATATTCAGGGAGTTAGATATGTGACAGGTCAAGCCAATGGCTAAAATAAAGCAAAACAAGATGGTCAAGAGGGAATTTCAGTTGAAGGAAAGTTGAAGCTGGAGAAATCGTGGCCGATGCGATTATGTCATGCCGTCACATGCTATCCATCCATTCCACAGTTCCATTACTTCCTCTTCCATTGCTTGTCCAACTCGTTTCACAGAAGAGATACAACATAGAATTGAGACACCGGTTAAATCTAACAGAGGAGGGTGATTATGTATTGTTAGCAGTCATGATAATCAAGAACATTCCAAGCGAAACATGTCGGAAGGAGAGAGCAGTGTCACAGTTCCGAATCCTCTCATTTGATGGGCTTCTGACAGCCACAGCAGAGATAACATTCACGCTTTATCGCCCTTCCGTGGTTTTCTTTCCCTCTGAGATGCCCTTTGGTATGGGCATTATGGTGGGTTCGCCGCTATGATAACGAGCACGTCAGTACTCATTATGCTTCGGGTCAATTCTGAGACGAAACACTCACCAGCATTCTGTCCCTCATATACTCTCCCACCAGGCCTGTCTCATTGAGGATACTCCAACACACATCGAAGAAGTCCTTCTCTGGGTCGGTGCAGTCGGGGTCGCGGTTAGCTGGCCCATTCCGTGATTTCTCTGACTTCTTGGGCCGTCTTTTTCTCGGAGCACTCTTTGCCTTAGCCAGAGCCGGGCCGACCTCGATGTCTTTGAACCCTGCACTTGCTGCCTTTTGAAACACCGCTTCTGCCTCCTCAAACCCTATTTCCATAGCCTCTAGGACCTCATCCCACCAGCTGCCAGCCATATCTTCTAGTGTCAAAGGTTTCGTGGTTTCAACGATGCAGGCAGGCTCTGTGGCCCCAGTATCCTGCGCGTCTGGGCCGGCCACAGTAGAAGCTGGGGGTTTGGAACTGGTAAATTCTGCGTTGGTCATGTTGGAGGTTGCCGCGTTTTCCCATACAGATTGATCACATTCACTGCAGGTTTCAGATCCCCAGGGACCTTCTTTGTTCTCTATTGTGGTCTTGTTTGCACCCATTTGCCCGTACTGTGTCGTAATTATGTCAAGCTCGTATGTATCTCCAGTGTCTTCCTGTTGGTCCTCGGTATATCCGTGGTCACTAAAGTGAACCTCTTCTTCAGGATAGTCAAACATGCTCATAGGAAGGAAGACGCCGCCGTCATCGATATCCACCTGGCTTCCAGGATCGTTGCTGAAGGGTTTCTCACTTTCCTCTTCACAATAGTCACCATATTCGGCCTCATACTCGTCATCTCGCTCAACCTTTTCTATCCAGGATTCGGAATCTCGTATGGGGCTATCGCTATAATCAACGGTTTCCCACGAGTTCGTCCCGTCATCAGAGACTTCAGGTCCAACAGCATACTCACTCGAGTCATCCATGTCTTCCGCGTAGCGCGTCATTCCAACTTCACGATCATCTGCAGTATGTCGCTCGAACTCTTCATCTTCATCATCAAGCGCAGCATCAGCCATCGGAGGATCCGAAAGTATAACAACCGGGGCTTCTAAAACAAACTCAAGAGCTGCGCAAATCAGCTGATGGCCTTCTCCTCAAATCTCCAATGCTCCGAAAAGACCATTTGACCAACAAGAACACTCACCTAACCGCTTCCTCACCCCAGATGGCGGACATTCCCACCCTCTCCGCACCGAATCGACGTACTCATCCACAGCCAGACAAGTTCCCCGGACCAGTAAGATAAACAAGACACTGACAATCCTACTCAACCAGCCTGTCCCCAAGTATGTGTCAAAACCTGTCAACAGCAACAATAACAACCTAGTCAGCACGTAACGTAACCTCACCCAAACCAACGCAGTGCTCGCACGTAAGACGCAAAAAGAAACGAATAAGAGGAATCAAAAAAATGAAAGTAAAACCCACGTATCGCCAAACCCAGACATGACCTGCCAATCGTATAGCCATAGTATCCAGCCACGCACACCCAGTACCCCGCGCAAACGGACCAAAGACTGATCGGGTATACCAGAATGGCAAACACAAGCACCTTGGCTTTTATCATGGTGTGTCGGATGTTATTTCGAGGCCATTGTTTTGAGTCGAGATGTGGCCGCGTGTAAAAGGAGGCCGTGTTCATCGGTAGGAGATCTTTGAGTAGTAAGTGGTGAGAAGTAAGTAACCAGGTAGGCAACTACTCAACTACCACCAGCAGCAGCACACAAAAACAATAGAAAAGGGTAGTAGCAACAGATTCAAAGGCCAATCCTTAAGGAAGAAATTTTTTTATCCTAGGATCAAAAAGCAAAACCAAGGCAAAAGATACAACAACAACTTCTACTATATCCACATTAGATTGCAGTCACTCTCCAGCACCCACCAGACAAGACCCTTCTCCGACCCAGTCGGTAAACTTGTATCCTTAGCCCTACCCCATCTAGACACAACAGATGATCAACAATCCACAGCACCCATCCCCTTCGACACAGTTATGGGATTCTACACAGCTTTATTGAGTCCAATAGTCGGGTTCCGAATCCTTGTTTTGAATGAGACGAGAAGGTATATACACCTTGCTTACTTAGGATTGCATGTTCTTTCAATATGCTAGAATCAGTGTCATCTTGCAGCTTTGCGACGACCTCGCTTGTGACTGATTATAGCACAGCCATATTATGGATGTACCTCACGTGCCATATTTCCCTTTTCATGTAGATTTTGAGGTGAGGTGAGGTCATGCTGGGTGAATGAATCATAGTGGATAGAATATATAGTACTATATTCATCGTTGTTAGTATCACAGGTGAAGGCAGGGATTAGGATAGTCAAGTATTACCTTGGCTCTACGGTGAATTGTTGACTTGACTAAGGTGCTGGTTAGGGCTGGGTCACCAAGTTTCGCCTCTTTTCAATTTTGTAACTGTGAATGAAGTAGCTGAAGCTGTTGTTTCTGGTTCATTTAGTAGTTCTGATTATAGTTATGCATTGAATGCGTGTTTAGTAGTTGTGCTAGAAGTATATATTGAGACATGTATCTCATACATCAATTTAAGTATCCGAAAGCCCATGCGAATGATGCTACCATGTACGAGGTATAACTAGAAGCCAGATCTATTTTGATCCTCAAGCTAGAAGCATCTTTCATAACTAGCTAGCTCCTACATACGAATCCAACAATTCTCCAATGCCATATCACGCCAAATATAATCGCCAGAGATCTCATGCACTGGTATCTCGAGTTCAACATGACAGAAGAAAAACAAAACAAGCAATACCATGCCAATTTTCCGCCCAAGTGCCTTACTCGAACACAATACCTAAGAATCCAGCCAGAGAACGACCCATCCGGAAGATCCAACAGAGACAAGAAAATAGTAAAGAAAAACTGAAAAGTGGTATCAAGGTCGTAACGGCGCCGGACTCGGTCTATTTGCGGAGTCCGCGCGCAGAAAAATCTATCAAGTTGAAACGGGGGACACAAAAGGAGAAGATGGGTAACGTCAGAGCTCTAAAGCATATAAGAGGTAATAGTAATACGAGACGGTAGAGAAAGGCAAGATGCAATGAAATGGATTCAAAATGAAAGATGATGTGGGGTATAAAGTAAGTCAGTCGTAAGATAATGAGAACGAAGAAGAAATTAGACGGGTCTTGACAAGGGTGAGTTGAGAAGATATTTTTTCTTGGTTTCGCTTGAAATTATCCGCTGTTTTTATGCGTTGACAGCTTGCTCGGGCGTGGCAGTAAGTTTTTTGGGCGTGGTCTCGTCGACGGCATTGCTATCTTCGTTCAAAGAGGATTGGTCGGGATCCGCGGTGACGAAGGAGTTTTCAGTGTGTTTGGAGCTCGACTCGAAACCATCGTCGCTTTTGGCCTTCTGGACCTGGCTATAGAGATTTTCTGACTCTTCGACGAAATGCGCACTATTCCTGGTGCCTGGACTCAAACTACGCAGGGAGTGCGGATGGCCGGGGTGCAATGACCCTGAGGTGATCGAGTCCGCACTACTGGTGATAGCTGGATCGGACATTCTCGGCTCTTCCGATGGAGTGGGCTTCCGAAGTTTGAGCCGTTCCTCGGGGGGCATATTCTGCCACTCGCTTCCAAAGGTGATGATTGAAGCCTTCTTGCCATGAACAGTAAAGCTAGCAGACTTGCGCGACAAGCCTTCGCCTTCACGCGCTCCTTGGCCGTCCTCGTGCGCGCCTGCGGCGGAAGCCGGGTCGCGAGGTTTCTTGCTGCGAGGGAGATGACCGTGGTGCACACCAGGCGCATCCCGGAGAGTCCGGTGAAGACTGCGGCGTATCCGACTGGAACGGTCCATTTGAGTTGTCTCTTGGGTGTCGTTCTGCTTCTGATCAATATCGCCTTCCTTGATGACAAGGGATTGTCTCTTGGTCTGAGGAGAGGTGTTCACCTCCAGCAAACCTGCCTCGCGAAGCACGCGCTCTTCGCCATCGTCAAAGCTTCCGGGGGAAGTGATTTTGGAGGCACGTGAAGCCAAGCTGGAGACATCTAGCTTGCTGGCAGCACTGAGCACAGAGGCTTCCCGGGTCAGTCGGTTTGACGGCTCGGGAGAAGAAGACTTTGTACGCTCCTTCAGATCCTCTACCGAGAGTCGTCTACCAATCCGAGAAGCGGCCTCGGAAGACGCGAAGGATGCAGGAATGCTCGGTCTGCGCAAGTCTTCTGCCACAGGCTGGGGTGCCGGTGGTTCGCAGATGGATGGAGGTTTAATAGACTCAGGGTGCGGCGAAGGCGGCGCCGTCTCTTTGATCGGTGATGCTAGTTTCTCTGGCACTGCTTCATCCTCCGTTTCCTTGGACTCGGGGGAGGTGGTATCCGCAGGAATCTGTAGCTGCAAACGCTTTTGCTCGGTCAAAGATGGTGTCTCCGCGTCCCCTTCACCCAAGTCGCGAACGAGAACTTCGCGGTAGCATCTGGTACGCCAGATATCCTGCCTCACCCACTTGAGCTTGGCAGCCATGCGCCCCGCAGCCATGATCACGCTCTCCCGCGCCCTGGAGTGCACCGGAGTCAGGACCTGCAGATGTCTAGCGTTCCTTAGCAGATCGTCAAGCTGTCGCTGGCTGACGAAAAGTTTCTCATTGGCCTCGCGGATCTTCTGGCGCATCAGATGTTCCCGCGCGACGATCAGATCTTCCCCCATATCTGCCCCGGGATTTGGCGACGGCGGTTCCTTTTCGTTGAGAGAAACACTAGAGCCCCGGCGGCTCATCCGATTCCGCTGCGCCTCGTAGTCGGTAGCCATCATGCCCTTGCTCCGGACGCCAGTGGTTCGGAAGGCTGCGGCATAATTGAGTTTTGCCAGCCAATCATTCATATCTGACTCGCTATTGGCTAAGAATACTTCCTCCAAAGCGTTGTGCCGAACAAATACAAATGCATGTTTGTGTTTCTTATAACCGCTATCGATCAAAGACACTGCATCATCAGTTTGCATGATCCCATCAGGTTTGAAGTCGGTCAAAGGCGGTTTGAATACAACAGCTCGGCGGCGGCCTTCTTTGTAGTGAGATTCCTCTTGGTGTATCAATGACTTGACCCAGTTGACGTCCCTGAAAAAGTAGAGCTTCGAGAACGTCAGAAGGGCACCCCATTCTTGCCATGGGGATCGAGCCTTCTTTTTCTTCGGGTCTTTGCGCCAAAGCAATCCGACCTTGGCTACTTTGATATCCACCAGGCCTGGGTTGGAATCTATCGGGTTTTCCATACTCGAAGGCATAAATGCATCAGGCCGTGAACGCAGGGAGACAATCTGCAGCACAGCGGCTTTGGAAAAGGCACGATGGAGGTTCTCAATATCTGGCGGTCCATCCGTTCCATTACAGCGATACGGATCATCCAGGTTCATCACATCCTTGAGACTTGGTCGAAGAGAGTCGAGTTTTCCATCCATGATCAAGGTGTATGGATCAACGGGCTCTCTGGTAGAACGACCAAGGTGGTCGGAGCTGGCCGTCTTGAACAATGTTCGGCGAGGCTTTGAAAGGTGGCGGCCGTTGGGATTCGTGTCCTCGATGCGAATGAAGGGTGTGTAGGAGATGTTCTCATAGAAGCACTCCAAGATATCTTCCGAAATGCCTTCTCCACGGGTATTTTTGACATAGTCTGGTTTCTGCATCTTCCGTTTATTATTCTTGTTGAAGACGTCCGTGTGTAAGATCAGGATCGAAAACGCAATGAAATATGCCTGGTCTGCAAAGGACAAGAGTTAGAGTATTCCATAATGTGGGTGCTAAGGTGACATACCAGTACTCGCAAAGATACCCGGATTACACTCATGGTATCGGTCAGCGAAGCTCTGGAGGAAACGGTCGATTTGCTGGGTCTCCTTTGGCAGTTCCACTTCCATCAATAGCTTCCGAATGGCCATATCGATCGGATCACCAAAGAAGGAGAATCCTCTCATGTACTTGCGCAGAGCGTTCTTATAGAACTCATCGTTCGATTGAGAGAGTACACTGGCAATTACACTCTTGGGTACGGTTGCCTCAAGCCGCTCCAAATACGTAGTCGGGGTATCACCTTCCTGTCTTTCCGGATAAGAAGGCGACTTGGTGACCGGAGTCTCCGCGCCCCTGGCCGCAGGAGACCCACTCCTGGGGAACGGGGGCTCCGAGTTCTGCCGCAGCCGCTGTGGGATGTTGAAGATATCGCCAAAACTTTTCCTTCCACTGGTTGAAGTAGACGTTCGTCCAGACGAAGTGAGATGGGGCGACTGTTGCGGCTCATTGTCCCGGATATTGGCCAAAGAATCCAACGTAGATGAGCGAGCCCGCGTGGTAGGCGGCTTACGTGTTCGAATGGATGGCGTTGAATGGCTCGAATGAGCGGAATTTGCCGAGTCCTTTCTTAACAGAGGGGGCCGAGGAGAGGAGACACCAGCTGAGGAGCGCGACGGCGACGGCAGGGGAGAGACGTGATCCCGGTCATGATCATCTGAAACATCCGACGTGGGAATCGAAGAATCCGGTATGGACTTGGGCGCACGTCCATTGAGCGACTGCGAAGCTGTTGGCTTGGGGGGCAAGGGAAAGAGGGGCCCCTTATTCCTCTTTAAGCGAGGCATACGGAATCGTTTTGTGCTGGAAATTGAACCCTCGCTCGTTGGAATTCCACGCGAGGCCGAAGAGCCATGATCCCCACGATCTTGATCAGAACGGGATGACTCGGAAAACCGTGCATCTGTCACAGAAGAGCGATGAGAGTCACCAGGTTGATCACGACCACTGCTCCGTATGGATGTGGTCGATAGACGACCCGGTTCCTCGCCGCTAACTCGAGACTCTGGTCGGCCTGGATTCACCGTCTGCGACCCCGTCGAGCCCTGGGCAGTATGCCTGGACTTCCCATTAATTGTGGATTGTTGTGGGGGGATTTCTTCCACCGTCGGGGTTTTCGAATCGGGGAACAGTTTGAATTTGTTCTTTCGCTTTACCGGCTCCTCGAGTTCATGGCTTGTCGGCGCGGTCGTGATGATTGTAGCTATAAAGCGCAGAGGCATTGGTAAGTCAGTCAACACAGCCAAATTGTCGGGCGGGAAACAAGAGGTGCGAAAGTCGTAGACTCTGAGATTAGGGGTGACTTACGCGGAGGCAAGGATGGCACAGGAGGGATCTCCTGCTCTGCTTTAGCGTACGACTTGGACAATTGCGGGTCCGACGCATGACGAAGCCTCATGAAACTGAAACGGTTCATGCGCCAATTCGGGCCGCTGCCCGGCAACAGTGAGTTCCCAGTGTTTCTAGGCCTCACGGTGGGTTCTTCAGCGCGACTGCGACTTTGTGTGAGGCTAGGGCCATCAGCCCTATGGTCGTCATTGTGCTCGGCGTCATCTGGACCAGCCAGCGATGGTGACCGTGGAGCAGATTCGGAATGTCTGGGGGCAAGGGCGGTCGTCGAGAGCGTCGGACGAGGGAGCTGTTCGCTGTGACGGGATTGCGGTGGATCGTACAGATAGCTCCGTCGTTTGGCTTCGTTGTCGGAGGAGCCGAGGCGCAGTGCTTTCCAATGCATAGTGACGACGATTTCCAGGAATAGTGTTTTATGTAATCCTGCAGCGCAGCGTGCTTGAGAGACCCATCCGATACTGCTCGATTGATACTTGGCGATCGTCCCACAGCGGTAGGTATAACACGGCTTCAGTCGGATTTGCGATCGGAGGTATGGCGACGGCAAGCTCTTGGGGGGGATTTGAGCGAATATGTCACCGGTCGGGCAGACCAATTTGCATCGCGAACCAGCGGAAGGGGAGAGTGAGGCAGGGAAAAGTTGGCAGCGCAAGGAGGTGGGGGCAAGATCGCTGGGCGGAGGAGCGCAGGTCGTTTAAAAAAGGGGGGTGGTGGTGGAAAGGAGGTGGAGGTCGTCAATCACCAACGCGAAAAAGCAGTGATCCGGAAATATCGTAATGGTCGCCAATTGAAGACGGTCACATCGCCAGGTGCGAGGTCGATGGAAAGGGTTATGGAGGAGAGAGGGAGGCCGCGTTGAGAATTCCGGGCGGGCGTGGAGAGACTCAAGGCAGGGCAGGGCAGGTGAGGGGACCAAGTAAACCACAACCACAAACTACTAACTAGTAGTTAGTTAGCAGTAGTGAACAGTACTACTTAGTACTGTTAAAACGCAGTCCCGAAGAGAGCCAAGGAGGGGCAGAGCAAAGAACTTTTTGAAGTAAAGAAGTAGTAGTAGTAGTAATGATAGGGCGATATAAATGAAGAGAAAAATAAATGCTTAGAATTAGGAAAAGAAGAAGTTGAAAGACTGAAGGAATGGAATGAGTGGGAATCCCGGGGGATGGTGATTGGCAGGAGGGCTAACTAAGAATCACGGTCCAGGCAAGAGAGAGAGAGAGAGAGCCGAGACAAGACGGAACAGCGATGATGCTGCTGGGGTTCACTTTCCACTGCTGCTGACGACGGAGAGATTCCAGAAATAGTGGAGTTGGTTTCTGTTGGACTTTCTCTTTCCCATTTTCAACCAACCACACGTGCGCTCGCTCTTGTTTACTGTGGATGTCTTTTTTTTTTTAGTCTTTTAGTATTTTAGTGTTTCCTTTTCAGCCCGTCAGCCTCCCTTTATTTTTATTTTTCTTGTCGCGATTTTGACTGGCATGTCAATTAAATTAATTATAAGCTCCATTACATTTTCCATGCCATCCATGTATCTATGTACGTATCTGGCTTGTGTTCTTCAACCAGGGGTTATCCTTACATGAATCATGTACCACCTTCATCAACACACTACACACACACTATTCTTAAGAACAATTGTAAATAGCACCCAATGTCTTTCATTGCTCTAAATATGTCTACGATCGGGTCTGGTCTGCAGAACCTCGGATTGTTTCCCAGTGGGTTTGTTTCTATCTTTAACTTTCAAACAGCCCCTAGATACCCTCATCCGGAGTAGCCAGACTAGTTCCTTCACTAGTAGCCAAAGTGGCAGTATGGGGGGGAAATTAATTCCTGGCCGCAAAGAGCTGGCTGGTTCCCCTTCCGCAGTTCCCTCCCGCCTTATGCTGATCGCAGGACCCTCGACTCGCCCTTGACACAACCCTGACAGCCAGACCCTGTATGTATGTAAGTCTCTGTTGTTGGGTGAGTGGAAACCAAAAATGAAACTATAGACCGGGAAATAAGGAAGAAAGCTGCAAGGCGGCGCCGATGGAGCTGCAAGTTGCACTCGCATCCCCAGCCATGCATCCACGTGACCGGGGTCTGGCCACGTCAGGCCCCAAGGCCATGACCACCGCTGGCGTCATCTCTGGCTATCCTTTTCGCCCGCCAGATCCGCCGCCCAATTGTCGCCCCCATCGCCCTTTTTCGTCTGTCCGGTCAAACTTGATTTGCATCATCTTGGCTGCCGCTGGAAGCCGGTAGGCCAAGTCTTTGTTCTTCTAGGCATCTGCGTTCCTTTCAATTGGATCACTTAGGAACTTCTGCAGTTTGTCTGGATATCGGTGTCCTGACTCCTTCGAACCAAGGTTCCGATTAGGAACGGAACCGCACCTTGTTCATAACTTACTGACTCTAGCTCACTGTGGTGTTTTGATTACTGAGATGTTTCTCGAATGCTGTCCATGGAATCCCACGTAGTCCATATTGAAGTCAATCCGTGCTCGATGATGCCTGGGATATATAGAAATATGCATGTTCCGCTCGTTCTATATCCGGAGTCTGGGATTAATTTAAGCCGATGTTCGAGGTATCAAGATACCGAAACTAATATTGATACACAATGCGTCTCCGATCAATATGCCACCTTCGTAGATAGATCGAGAGCTTCAACTTCATCATGACGACGGCATATAATTGCTCAGCACAGCTGGCCAAATTGATGTGGCAACATCGACAAACTATGTAAGCAATACTTGGAGAATAGTAGGGATACCGCTTTATCATATAAGGCCATGCTCGCAGGGCCAGACAGAAGCTCGGAAGCTGTAACTCTGGCTCTTGGGACCAAGCATGAGTACGATCCCTTTGCTTCGTCTTTCTGGGAGGGAATGGGTCTGACACGTACGATAATATGGCTGTACGGCCACACATACGACGCTGGGTGGACTCCTGTGGGGATCGGTCTAGACCATCAAGATCAGTCACGGTCTCGACTTTCATCCACTGATTGTGGTGTACCAGCTTCTATAGGTACAGTCCCTCCTCCACCACGCAAATAGCAACCAGCATAGGATGCCTGGCGAATTGTGAGCAAATGCGCCTTACAAGGAGTGTCTCACCACGTCCCATCTGAGTCCAACCTGTGAGAACTTCTGGTTTTAGCGGGGCATGTTAACCGTCGTGAAAAGCCAAATAGCGAATCCATGAAAATGCCTTCATAGTTATAGTGTACGATAATTTGACTACCAGTCACTCTGTATCTCCCGTAGCCTTCGTCTTCCGATGGCACCTTCATGGCTCATCAGAGGCATGCTATGTGTGGTCCTGTCGAGTCAGGTAAGGCTTCGAGAACTGCTAGTGCCAAGACTTTCGCATGACCCTTATACCAAAGAGACCCTTTTCTCCCCAAATATACTCGTAGGATCTTCTTGTTTGATGCCTTCTGGGACACTACATACAGAGAGAGAAGTGTTCGGCAGAGCAGAAGCGCAGACATCCTTGCCTAATCCGGAATGGCGGGTCAGCGGAGCCAACCGGGGCGTGACATGATCACTAGTCCTAGAATGGTTAGAAGCACTGACTGTCCGCAGCTGTAAGCTAGTCGGAACAGGAATAGTTCCCGGGCCATCCAATGCGGGCATCCATTCGATCCTCTCCAAACTTCAATTATGGCTGCATTCGCCCTCACCGACTTAGCCTAATCTTCGATCGTGGTCCTTTTAAGTGCTAGACTAGCTCTTGTCAAGCTCGTGGTGGCTGCAGAAATTATACCTCGGCATCTCTATCACCTTCTGTTCAAGCGTGTGCTGATTATGGCACAATTTCTTCTATGCTATATCTCAGCCTTCTTCATATAAGGTTCAACTCTCCGACTCAATAACAGAGTCAGTTATGCAAAGTTTACTACACCTGATATAGAGATTGAAGATGGAATGAAGCCAAGTTCAGCAGATTATTGATTCCAGAGTTCGAATACTTGGTAGCATTCCTGGTATTGTGGGGAGACAGTCCAGGTGCAGCCATAATCGATGCCTGAGGCACATAGCACAGCCTCGTCTCCACTCCTACGTACTACTTACCAAGTCACACCCACCATTCCTTCCGTCTCTCGGTCTCTCCTCTCTCTCTAACTTCTGCTCTCGTGCACCACTTCTCTTCCCTCTCATGCCATCCTTCTCCATCTATTCCCTGTCAAACTTCTGTCTGTCGTTTTAGGTTTTCTGAAGGAGATGACTCGGTAACTACTATATAACCCTGGCGTACTCAACATCCAATATGCGTCACCTCTTATCACTGCTCGTGCTTCTGATCGCATCGGCCGCCCTGGTCTCCGCCGTCCCCGCCGGCTCCATTATCACTCCACAACCACCCGTCGAGCCCGTTCACCTTCTCTCTTCCCAGCCTTCTGATCCCCGAAGGCCATGGACTCGCCTCCGTGACTGGGTTATCGAGTCCATATGGGACATTGAAAAACCCGCTTCTCGTCGATTCCCACTCAACGATTCCCCGCGCAATCGCTCTCCTCCCTCCCGGATCCTGGCGCGCTACGGTAGTGACGTCGTACTTCGTTTCAGCCTGCGCGATCACGATGAGGCCGAAGCACTAGCCCAGGCCGCAGACATTCTGTTCCTGGATGTATGGGCGTCTACTCCAGCATTCGTAGATATCCGGCTGGCCGAGGAAGTCGTAAGTGGATCATCCTTCCGTCCGCATCTGCCTGGTGACTGATGACTGATTCGCTTTGACCCTCGCAATAGATTCCCTCGTTATTGGGCTTACTACCAAATTCCCTCCAGACTGCATATACTCCCCTGATAGAAAACTTGGCAGAGAGGATTTATACGACCTATCCATCGAAGAAGCCGATAGGGCTTGAAGGACAATCCGGGTTTGCGCCCTCAAATCGGCCTGCGCCGAAATTTGGTGACCTTTTCTTCCACGAGTATCAGCCTCTGTCCGTCATTGTTCCCTGGATGCGGCTGCTAGCGTCCATGTTTCCATCCCATGTGCGCATGATTAGCATTGGAGTATCTTACGAGGGTCGCGAAATTCCCGCCCTCCGACTGAGCGCAGGCAGCTCCACCGCGGCGTCAGGCCCTCGTAAAACCATCATCGTCACGGGTGGTAGCCATGCTCGCGAATGGATCGGCACCTCAACCGTAAATCATGTAATGTACACTCTCATTACGAAGTACGGGAAATCCAAGGCCGTCACCCGCCTTCTACAGGACTTTGATTGGGTCATGATCCCCACGATCAATCCCGACGGCTATGTCTATACCTGGGAGACAGACCGACTATGGCGCAAGAATCGACAGCGGACCAGCCTACGCTTCTGTCCCGGGATCGACCTTGACCGCGCCTGGGGCTTCGAATGGGATGGCGGTCGGACCCGCGCGA